ACCTTGTTATCTCAGATTCTCCAGCATCTACAGTTCCTACTATCTCTGAAACAACATTAAATATCCATAGTGAACATCGTTCATGAAACTTCAAGTTACACCAACCAAAAGCATTTTGAAGATGCACTTGCCAGAATAAATTAACACGTTATGGTAGAAATTGAAAAAATTATTCAAAAGGAAATAACTTTCACTTAATTTGCACATATTCAATTCCCCTCCTTGGCTCAGTAACATAACAATAAATTATCTAGCCCAACACTGAAAAGATACATTTGCTGGGAACACTTGGAGACCATTTTCCAGAAGAAATGTTGCTGATTCAATTAAAATCCTCTTGCCGATTTCACTCTTTCAGCTGAAGAAAAACACATTTAAACCCTCACCAACTTCCTCAGCATCACTGCTATTGTTGTCTTCAGCCCTTAGTTACTTAAGTGGTCATTGATTCTGACCAACCTATTCATTTAGCATTGTATTAAATGATATGCGTCTGCACTTTCTACGATCACATGATAAAATCCCAGTTAAATGGATGGTTTGATCATTTGTTTACTTCACATGTGAAGTAAATGAATGATTTTTCATTCACTTCTTATGTGCAGGAACATTAAGGTTACCCATTTACATGTAGTCATAGACAACAAGGTGCAGGGCTGGATGAACACAGCAGGCCAAGCAGCATCATAGGAGCAGAGAGGCTGACGTTTCGGGCCTAGACCCTTCATCAGAAAAGGGGGAGGGGAAGGGGGTTTTGAAATAAATAGGGAGAGAGTGGGAGGCGGATAGAAGAGGGATAGAGGAGAGGATAGGTGGAGAGGAAACAAACAGGTCGAAGAGGCGGGGATGGGGCCAGGAAAGGTGAGTGTAGGTAGGGAGTTAGGAAGGGGATAGGTCAGTCCAGGGAGGACGGACAGGTCAAGGGGGCGGGATGAGGTTGGTCGGTAGGAGATGGAGGTGCGGCTTGGGGTGGGAGGAGGGGATAGGTGGGAGGAAGAACAGGTTAGGTAGTCAAGTGTTGTAAGGTTAACTGTGGATTATTGACTGTTCTTCTTTCCGCTGAATCTGTCCTGGGCTGGTGTTACAAGAAAATTCCTAAACAGCAAAACCCAAATGTGAGAGACCTGTAATACTTGAATATAGAATAGAATAGAAATCTATTACCAGATGTATTTTTACATGAAAAATACAGTGAAAAGTTTTATAAGTCGCCCCACGATGGCACCCACATCAATGACTGAAGACAAACGTTAATAATGTAAAAGAGTAAAATGAAGATAAAGTCAATCACAGTTCAGTTAAAGGCTCCCAAGCTCAGGGAAAGCCAATTGAGGAACAATGGAATACCCTGAAGATGCAGCCAGGATGAGACCGCCACTCCGACCCACTTGGAACACTCTTCCGGAAGCCTCTGCTGAAGAAGACAGCCACAGTGGGCTGACCCTGCCACTCCCAGACAAGACTACCCGCCAGGCCGCTGGAACACCTGGAAGACGAAGATGAAGAAGACCTTCACGCTGAGGAAGAGACCGCCACACTGTGCCAAGACCGCCACCCCTCCTCCTTCAGGCACCCAGGAGGCCCCAGCCGCGGGCCTGGAGACTTGGCCTAGCCTGCGAGTCTGGGCTGGGGGAGTCAGCCTGACACCTCCATCCTTGTTCCTCAGCAACCAACTCAACTAGTGAAGAAGTAGTCAGTGATTACCATGGAAATACATCCTCTGTTGTAGTAACCTAAACTTGGTGCAGCACTATGTTCCTTGCCATGTTAAGATGGGATATTTAAGCCACAAAGACTGCAGTGCAGAGGGCCAACTGCAAATGATCCTCAGGTCATAAAATCAGCTCGGGTTAATAGGGTGTCATTGTGGCTTCTGTACTCCATTAGCTGAACAAAAGCTCTTGACCAATTCTTTTCAAAGCCTGAAGAATGGACGATCTATTGGACATTTCAGAAAGAGCATGTGAAACACATAGCAGAAGAATCTGAATTCTGTAACGAATCAAAGGTTTCAATAACATATATTGCAAATTACCTTTATGCATACTTCCCACTTCTCCCACACGTGTGAAAGCTTGTTATCTTAATGTCACTTATTGACAGAAACCATAGCATTCTTCCACCCTCTACTGTCAGTTATTTACGGAAAGCTCTACTAGTAACTGTATGCAACCATCTACAAATGTTTTCAATGAGGAACTTAGGATCAAGTTCCAAGGACAAGACAGGACAGCACTAAGGTTGAAAGGAGTAAGAGAGAAAATGAGGAAAATCAAGCTCTTTTATTGAAATTACTTGTTTCATTAAGATGATGCCGCAACATGTCAACTTGCACTTCTTGTATCTTTCTCCAGCTTTAATGGGGAGGGTAAACATTGGCAGGGAAAATTAAATTCGACAAAGCTAATGGAAAATCCAAACAAAAAATTCAAACGTCTTTAATAACAACATAAAAATATATTGCTACTCTTTAAGATTCATCCTCTCATCTCCTGTTTCAAAGTCAAAGTTCTAGCCCATGCCACAATCAGGCTTGGGGAAGGTGCCATATTCTGGTAAATGAAGAAACCTCAGAACATGAACAAACAGGAGCAGCTGCAAATAGCTTCACCTTTATCTCTGTTACAAACTGTTACAAACTGCATTCCACCTAAATCACTCCAAAGAACAGAAAAAAAAAGTTGCAGCAATTTTGAAAGCATTAAAGGCACATTTTGAACCTGACATATAAGCAGCATATGTTCAACATCACAGCTCAAGGTAAAACAGAACATATTGATAGATATGTGACTGCATTAAGACAGCTCACAGATCCCGTGCATTCAGACACCCGAAAATGATCTAATCAAAGTTGGAGTTATCTTCAGCACATGAGATTCTATGCTAACAATGCAACTGCTAAGGGAAAAACAATTTTTTTTAATATCCATTCACGGGATGAGGGCATCACTGGCCAGCATCATTCATTGCCCATCCCTAATTGCCCAGAGGGCAGTTAAGAGTCAACCACATCGCTCTGGGTCTGGAGTCACATGTAGGCCAGACCAGGTAAGGATGGCAGCTTCCTTCCCTAAAGGACATTAGTGAACCGGATGGGTTTTTCCGACGATGGATTCATGGTCGTCATTAGACTCTTAATTCCAGAAATTTTTTTATTGAATTCAAATTCCACCATCTGCCAAGGTGGGATTCAAACCCCAGGTTCCCAGAACGTTATCTTTGTCTCTGGATTAACAGTCCAGCGATAATACCACTGGACCATCAACTCCCCTAGGCCATCTCACTCTCAAAGAAGTTATAAACATGTGCAGAAGCTTGTAAATCAACAGCTAGACCATGTATATGGGAGAACAGACAAGTATGTCCAGAATACCCAGATCTGTGCCCTATTTGGATAAGCGGCTCAGACATATTCATTATGTTGCAAAGCTGCCTAGACCTTTCTAGTGCAGCAACCTGGAGGAAAGCAGTAAGCATCCACAGAAGGACCAGCAGAAAGATCAAGGTAAAGTTGCATCTATATAGCAGAGGTAATCAAATAAAACTAAAGAAAACACGTTCAGCATGGGGAAATGAGTGTTTTAACTGCAAAAAGCTAAACCTCTATGAATGCAGGTGTTTAGCTAAGAAGGAGACAAATAAGCCTACGAATCTTATAGGTATAAATGCCACAGTAATGTCAGATGACAATTCTGACAAATCAAGGGTCGGTATGAGACAGTTCAGTGGAAGTCTATACAGCAGAACGAGAGAGTCAACTGAAGAGGAAATACTGGATAGACACTGGTGCTTTCCTGTAACATTGGGAGCTTTGTAGACCTCTCTAAAATTATACTAATTGGTGATTGTAGTGATTGTAATGAGGTCAGCCATGTGGACCTCATTAGAATATGAGTTCCCTGATTCGGGCTGTTCACTTGGTCCAATCAGGGAGCCCTGGCTGACAGATAAGAACAGGAGTATCAGAGGCTCTGCTCACTCTGAGAGAGCAGGATCAGTGTCAAGGACTTTCCACGTGTAAATAATGGGAGACTTGGTGATGAGATACCGGCCTCTGATGGAGCTATTTCAGCGGTGACGAGAGAAGAAATTTGTTTGTGACAGTCTCTTTGAACTGGGGTAGGCATTTCTGGCATCATGCTGTTATTTGGGAAACTTGACTCATTTGAACCTGCTGTCAAAGACTGGGCCCAGTATGTGGAAAGAATGTTTTTTTTCCCAGGCAAATAACATTGGGGCAGATGAAAAGCAATGAGTAACATGCACCTTTTTTAGGTTATTAGAAGCCTAACTTTCCTTGAAGCACCAGATACTAAAACCTTTCAAGATTGATGGATTTAGTTAAGGAATATTCAGGCCTGGAGCCTGAAGTGTGTTGGAACACTGTCCAGGAAGACAAGTAGCAAATGCAGATGCATTGAGCAACCTCCCACTGGTGGATTCACCACCGGAAGAGCCCATAATAGTTTAAAACTGTCTGGATACGCTGTCAGTCACAGCTGACAATATCAGACCTAGAACATAGGAAGATCTAGTCCTGGCAAAACTGAAACAGCTGATGGGTGATGTGGGAAACCAAAGGGCCATCACAGCCAGAAATGAAACCTTTATTGACCCAGAGAGACCAGATTACGGTAGAGTGAGGCATAATATTGTGGGGAGGAAGAGCAATTGTCCCGAGCAAAGGTCGCTGCCTGATACTGGCTTAACTCCTCCAGGGTCATCCAGGGGATTCCAAAATGAAGATGTTTGAGAGAAGTTAGGCCTGGTGGCCAGGACTGGATACAGACATGGCTGCTTTGGTGGGGCAGTGTCCAGAGTGCCCATGAGGATAGAAGTTGCTGCTAGCAGCTGCCCCACATTCATGGGAATGGCTGGGTAATCCTTGGACCCGGTTATAAATGGACTATGCCGGTCCTTTCCCTTCATCATTGTGGACACTCACACAAAGTAGTTGGACATGCATAGAATTCATTCATCAAACACGGGGCCGACAATAGAAAAGCAGTGTGCATCTTCTTGCAATACACAGACTCCCGGAAGAGTATTGGCCATTGTTTGCCACCAGGGAATTTGAGCATTTCCTAATATGGTATTCATCATATAAGGACACCTTCATACCATCCATCATCCAATGGTCTGACAGCAAGAGCAGCCCAAACTTTGATGATAGACTTAAAGAAACAGCCTAGAGCTTCACTAGATACCAAACTGCCTTGGTTCCTGTTTGATTACTGGATCACCCTTCATGCAACTACAGGGATAGCTCCAGTAGAACAAAAACAGTAATTGTTGGAAAAGCTCAGCACGTCTAGCAGCATCTGTGGAGAAAAATCAGAGTCGATGTTTCATTCTTCAGTGTATTTTTGATTAGGGATAACATTTTGGATGTACTTGGGGAGAATATTCCTGAGAGATCACCCAGTGAAGTTATATGGGTGGAACTGAGAAATAAGAAAGTGATTACCTTGTTGGGATTGTTATTGTATACCTTCCCAG